TTTTTTTGGTTTTTCTCCGGTACCGGGAACCGAACTCACGACCTTGCGCTTGCCAGGCAGGCGCTTTTGCCGCTGAGCTAAATCCCCAGCCCTCTCGCAGATTTTATACACCTTTGCTATGTGCTATGGTCTCTTTTTGATTTATACTGAAATCCCGAGAGAACAGTACAGTTTTCACTGTTTAATATTTCATTGATAATTTTCGCTAGCCTCTGTAATTTGTCTACCATTTTGGCTTTTTCATTACAGTTCATTTCTAAATGTTGGTCCACATTTCTTTTCCCTCATCAGAGTTTCTAGGTTTGAAATTATATTGACTGAATGAAATAATTTCTGAATGCATATTTTAATCCTTTTGTGTTTTTCTAACTCAGCACATCCATTTTATTTTTATTTTATTCTTCCCATTGATTCCAATTTTACATTTTTTTGTTCCTTAAACATTGCTGATTTAAATGATTTTCCCATGGATTCACAGTTCAGCATTTGCAGACTCATTCATGGCTCACGGCTGAACACTGTGGATCTTAGGAACTCATTAAGTATTATTTATTTCCTCTTAAGGACATAAAGAGTTTCCATTCTCAGAATACTATAAAAATGAATAATTTGTTTAGTCATTATATATTCTTTTAACTAAAGCATAAAAATCTGGCTGGGAGGGGTGACACATGCCTGTATTCCCAGCTACTTCAGAGAGGAGACAAGAGAATGACAAGTTCAAGGTCAGCTTGGGCAACTTAGCTAGAACTTGTCTCAAAAATACAGTATTAAAAAGGTAAAAATGTAGCTCAGGGTTAGAGTGCTTACCTATGTTAGCCTGAGACCATGGATCTATTCTGAATATAACAAAAATGAAACAAAACAAAGCAAAGCAAAGCAAATAAAGGCTGCATTCAGGCCCTAGGGAGCAGTATAGCTCCTTTTATGAGAATATATAATCTACAAAAAGTCCCCACTTTTTCCCATTAATCCACCCTTAAGCCACTGTAACTTGAATTCTCTTCCTATTACTCTACTAAGGTGTCTTTCCAAGGTTTATGGTGGCATTCATGTTCCTAAAATGAACATACGCTTTTTAGTATTCACGTTACTGATTATTGGAGCAGTCCTAAATCTTGACAGACCCTGCTTTAACTGCTTGGTCTCTGAATTTTATTTTTCTTGTTTTCCTCCCTTCTCTCCGATGGTCCTTTATAGTCTCCTTTGCTTTTTTCTTTAACATATGTCTAAAATTCATTTCACTTTTTTTATCATGCTGCCTGACACCTCTTTCTTTCCTCACTCTTAATTCTTGCTTATTATTATATTAATGCCTCAGTTTTGAGTTACCTAAAATATGCCAAAGATTCCTATCACTCCAAAAGTCTTCCTTCTGTCCTAACAGCCTTCTAAGCAGTTGCTTGTAATTGTTCTGAGCTTATATGATGATGAAACGAACATGCACAAACCAAACCTGGTTTGTCCTCTTACCTTAGTGTTCCATCTAAAAATAATTGTCACTATAACTCACAGTTGCTTAAGCAAGAAACCTGGCCATCACTGTGATATTTCTCCGTCTCCATACTCCTGTCTTTCAAGCAAATAATATGAAATAGCATAATCTTATTTATTACTTATGATACCCAGTAGAAAATGAATTAAGTTTTTAGACTTGATTATCTGCAAGTTATTTGAAGTATTAATTCGATCACTTTCAGTTAGTAAATACAAACATGTAGGCATGTTGGTGTACATATAAGAGTTTTTAGGGTATATATTGCTAGAGGTTTGCAAGAAGCATAAAGCTAATTTTTTGTATGTAGCACAGGATATGAAAGTTTGAAAAACATGAGCTTTTATTAAGTGGAAATTTATGAAAGAGGAACCCACAGTTGTTGGGCTACCTACTAGTGAATTGCCTGGTAGTGTTAGAAAAACAATACCAAATATATGCTTGTTGTGTCCTGGATTACATAGATAGATAACGAGTCTGTGGCAGTAGCGTGCTGGTGAGAATGTTAATGTGGAGCACACACATTGGAGTTTTTCTTCAAGTATGTCTACTAACATCACGCAAGATCCATTCTACTTCATCCTCGTGGGCATCCCAGGATTTGAGGGCTACCACATCTGGATTTCCATCCCATTCTGCTGCTTCTACATCATCTCTGTCATAGGTAACACCTCCATCCTCACTGTCATACACACAGAGCCATCTCTCCGCCAGCCTATGTACCTATTTCTCTCCATGCTGGCCCTGACTGACCTGGGTCTCACCCTCACCACTCTTCCCACCATCATGGGGCTCTTCTGGTTTAACGTTCACAAAATCAGCTTTGAGGCCTGCTTTGCCCAATTATTCTTCCTCCATGGATTCTCCTTTATGGAGTCTTCTGTCCTGCTGGCTATGTCCTTTGACCGTTATGTGGCCATCTGCCGTCCCCTCCACTACGCTTCCATCCTCACCAACGAAGTCATTGGTAGAATTGGGTTCACCATCATTTGCCGCTGTACCCTGGCTGTGCTTCCCTCCCTCTTCCTACTCAAGCGCCTGCCTTTCTGCGCCTCCCACCTTCTCTCTCACTCCTACTGCCTCCACCAGGATTTGATTCACCTGGTCTGCGCTGACACCCGGGTCAACAATTGGTATGGATTTGCTCTAGTCCTGCTCATCATTGTAATGGACCCTCTGCTTATTGTGCTATCCTATGCAATGCTTCTGAGAAGTGTCCTAGGGGTATCCTCCAGGGCTGAGAGACTTCGTGCTCTCAACAACTGCTTGTCCCACATTCTGGCTGTTCTGGTGCTTTATGTCCCCATGGTTGGTGTATCTATGACTCACCGCTTTGCCAAGCATAACTCCCCACTGGTCCATGTTATCATGGCCAATGTGTACCTGCTGGCACCTCCTGTGATTAATCCCATTATTTATAGTGTCAAGACCAAGCAGATCCGCCGGGGGATCATCCATCTCCTTTGCCCCCACACTATGCATGCAAGGTGAGGGAATGAATTTATTAAATTACTTATGAAAAGGAGTCATAGAGTTGATGGCAGAGTATAATCAGAATAGGGAAGTGAAGACTGTAAAATAAGTCTCCATATTTTTATAAATGTAGCATGACATTTTTCTGACTCTTACACGAGTATTTTGGCTTATTGGGAGCTTGTAATGATGATAGGGTCTTTTGTTTTAAAAAAAAAAAACTCAAGAAAATAGAAAAGAATGTGGTGCAAATGATATTTTTCTGTCAGTTAATAAAACTGGATTGAAAAGAGCCCAAAAATAATTCTGGGAAAAGAAACTTTGGGATTCTGCCAAAATTAGCAAAGAGAAAGACAAGATACCCCAAGTAATTTCTTGATTAAAGATATAAATCAATTCAAACAAAAAAAAAGACATAAATCAATTGAAAATTGTGGTCACAGATAATGAAATTTACATAGTCAAAATTTGACTGATAATCAGGTGAAGACCTAATCAAGAATTCTACCCTGTTCTTTGCTCTTCTAGCTTTTGTCTCATTCCCACAGATAAATTGTTATTTCTACCATGGTCGCTTCATTCTCTTACACTGTTGTGGTGCACACATAACAATTAGAATTTGCCAAAACCCGTAAAACTTTATGGTGGTACACAGTGAACTTTCCTTGATCCATACTTCTTTTAAAAAATCGCTTGACCAATTTTACACGCTTGAATTTGGTAATTAGAATGACTGATCTGAAAAAATATGCAGTATAAGAACCATTGTTGAACTCCTACCATTCTGTATGGTGAAACTCTGCATCATTTCCAATGTTTTTTTTTTTAATTATTTTTTTACATGTTACTGTCTTTGGTTGTTTGATCAGTCTTACATTCATATGTCTAATGAACTGAGCAACTTCATTGAAGATAACAGTATGTAATTAGCAATCATTGCAAATTTCTTGAGTTCATGTATCATTTTTATCATTTTTGTGTTGTTTTGATTTTGTCTTCCTTGTTTTGTCAGATTTTTAAATTTCTAAAATGCAAAAAATAAAAAAATTTTAAAAATTAAAAAAAAAATCATCATTCAAAACAGTACAGGATCCCAGTAGAGAAGGCATAATGTTACAAAAAAACCTAACTTTTTTCATAATTATATAAAACAACTATGCTGAAAAGATCGCTGATGTATATAACTTGGGAAATGAATGGAATCTCAAAAATTAAAGGGGAAGGAAATACAATAAGCACTGCTCTTTAACTCATAAAACAAATTCTTACTGGAACACATATTAAAAATTCTACAACTAGTTTTATGTATAATGAAAAATTAAATAAATAAATGGCAGAGTAGCAAGTTTCAGACACACAAGGGAAAACAGCTCATATTATCTGTGAACGAGGGTTGAAAACATCAGTGTGAAGAAATTTATGCTACATAGAAGGGCCCACAGAAATAATTCTGTCAAAAATTAGATTTTGTTATATATCTATTCATGTATGTTCATATTTTAGATTTGTATCTTGCATGATATAGTCATCTTCTTGCATTTAAAACCTTGGAGAAAAAAAAATAAAATAAAATAAAATAAAACCTTGGAGAAACAGTAAACCTTCCTCAAGAAAGTTTTGCGACATTCATTCTCAGATTTTTATCATTCTCCATGCTGCATCTAAATGCATATATGATTATGTTCCTTTTCTTTATTCTTAGTAGGTGCTTGAAAATATTAGTTTAATAAAGGAAGAAATTAGATAATGAAACCTGCTGGATACTACTCTGGAAGAAATTGTATTCTTTAAACTAAGACTTGGGGTTTAAACAGTCATCCTAGCTTACAGAAGATATTGGTGGGATCAAGTTTTATGTTCTTCAAATAGACTACATGTGTCCCTGAGCACAAATACTTTTAAGAAAAATTTAATGAAGTGCATTTTAACATATTCAATGTCCAAATATTTTCTTCACTTAAAATTACTTTGACCAAGAATGTACCTGATTTTAC